ACAGGAACAGATTGTTTCCCTTTTTGTACACGAGATCGAGAGGAAAGGTTCCTAAAAGGGCAGTCGGTCAGTCATCGGTCATATTGACCTCACCTTCATAATTCATCTCTCACGTGGAAACTGAGAACTTTGCTCCAAATAGAATTGTGGAAACTCGCACTGCCGCCTTCTTCCCTCTGTTTGGCCTGCTTGTGACCCAGCGGACATCACCCCAAGACCCCTGACAGCGGCTAGTCTAGGTTGATCCTATCATCTCTTTCGGTGTGTAGATCCAGTGTGACCAGCTTTCATAACAAATTGTTCATAGTAAATACTCAACACCGTATGGATTTCCACGTGTTTCTTTAGAGCACCGAAAGATCAGGACCACAGGAGGGGCGGCCCTCCTCCTCCTTCACTAAGGCACAACCTGGCATTGTATGCAACTTAGTACTTCAGAGTAAAAACTGCATGCCCAATGTTATGCAAAGCGATTCTAGCATGAAATAAATTTTGTATCACGGTTTCTGTATAGTCTAAAGCAGATTTGTTTTCCTGAAGCAATGGGAGGTTTGCAGAGACACATGTCTGCATCTCGAATAAATATAGTATTTTCCCAAAAGAAACAGAGGACAGTAGCTTGGCTTTGGTCTGATTCTAAAATTAGTGGCTGGGGGGTGGGGGTGGGGAAGGATGATATTTTTGAAAAACACATGCTTGAGTTGAAAAAAATGCAACATCTCGAGCTCTTGCTGCAGCTCGCAACATTTCCTGGAAAGAGAGCAATGCTGCTTTAGTTCCACACCCTCCCCTCCCTGGGCCCTGGCCCGAGATAATAAAAAGCTGACTTTCGAGATGAAGCACGGATCTGGGTTTTTATTGCCTCAGTCAGTGTCGCAGTTTGGTTCTGGGCCTAAGGAAGAAGTTGCTCTCTAAACAGACCCCTGCAGATCCTGTTGGCTGGGGGAGGGAGACAGCTCTCAGGAAGGGCTGGGCATGCAAGGACCTGACCTAAGACAAGCACATCCTCCAGGGGTTCATCAACACGGCAGCTTCTCTGTGGAGTCATGCCATAGTCATGACTCCTTGTATCTGGCGATGTGAGAGCCACTCCCACGCTCCCCTTCTAGGTGCAGACCACCGTCACCTCCCTCCTAGGGCCATTCTTGAGTCTGATCTAGCCAGAGGCAGGAGTCTGACTGACAGGTCTAGGTGCCCTATCCTGCTGCACCCTTGCTAGGCCCAGTCTGGTGGAGCACCTTATGGCATACCCCTCACTCAGCCCAGAGGTGTCTTGGAAGGGGTGGAGACCTCTCCTAGGGATCTTGATTTGCATGGGTTGTTCACTTGGTTTTGGTTGGGGGTAGAGTGGGGGATTGGGGTTCCAATTCTTTTCCTAACCAGTAGAGAATTTAGAAATGCTCAGGTGGAAAGGTTTCCAATGGTCATGGTAGTCAACCTCTGAATGGAGGCCCACAGAGGAGTGACCTGCCCAGGGCCACAAAGAAGTGGGTGTCAGTCTCCCCTTGATTTCAGTCAATGATCAGATGTGAGGGGAGCTGAAAGTGGGGCCCGATTTTCATCTAACAGTTTTGAACACCCTCTAAGCATTTGCCTCAACTTCCTGATGCCCTGTGAGGCCTGGGAACCAAGGGGTGGGGGTCGGTGGGGTGAGTACAGTAAGGCCTCTGCCCAGGGCTCCTGTAGCCAAGGGGCTACCAGATTTACGCTGTGTATGTAACAGCCATTCATAAGGACCAGGGCATAGAAGCCAAGCAGCTTCGGCTGCCGCAGGGCAGGTCGCGTGGCCTCCCTCTATCTGGGCTCTACCTTGGAGGAAGTGCCTCTGGTGGACTCAGGTGGGACTCAACGCAAAGCCATTTGGAATGTGGGTTTTCAAGGACCATACAGCTCATGGGGAAAGGAGATTAACATACACCGAGAATCTGTTATGTGTCGAGCACGTGAGAAAAGTTGACTAATGAGAACCCACAGTGATTCAACATGCCCATTATAGAGGCAAGAGAGTAAGGCACAAAAGTAACTGGCCCAGAGCCACACAGCCAATGAAGCCAAGATTTTAAACCCAGGTAGTCTGACTCCAGAGCTTGGGTTAAGCTGTCCCAAGGCCCTCCTGGAGCTGGAGGTGGAACTGATAGGAACACTAGAATTGCTGCTCCTGAATCCCAGAACCCTCATAACCTGGCTGCCTGCCCTCCTTCATGAATTGCCATGGGGTGACCAAGGGGCCACTTCACATGCTGCTCCGAACTATCCACACACATCTGACCATCTCACTCCCTGCTTAAACACCCTGCTGCCCTAAGAATGGGGTTGAATCTCCTTAAATTAGCTGTCAAGGCCTCTCCTCTCCCAGCTTGCACATCCCCCTGTGCTCCAGTCAGTGATTCTCCAAACTTGCAGCAGCTACACATATGCACCGTAGGACCTAGAACTCCCTCCCTCTAGCCCATCCCCGTCATTTCCCAATAATATGCTAACTCCCAATTTCAACTGATCACTAAGTTACTTCACTCAGAAGTGGTGGGTGTGTGGGGGGCTGGGGCTCTACTCTGAGCTCTAGGCCTGGATTCACGCTTTCCAAGCACGATCTCATGTAGTCTTGTTCTGATGGCCCACTGGGACCAGAGGCGGTGGGTGTGTCAAGATGGGGTCCCTGCCATCAGGAGGGGGAGTGTGTGTGTGGCAGGTTAGGAGGTGAACATCCCACTAACCCTTGGTACATAGTGGGCCATCACCCATCTCTCTGGAGCGCGGCCCAAGACCTGCGAGCACACAGCGGGGTCCCCCCCTCTTCATTTCTCTTTTCTCCTCTCACACGAGGAGTCTGAGGCCAATTTACCCAGTCTATCAGAAAAAGAGTAATTCCTAAAAATGAGTGCGTATTTTCTCAAGTCGGCTCCTCTGGTTCACTTGCTACCCAGGTGGATATTGACAGTCAAATAGTTATGCTATCCAGGATGAGTGGGGGTGAGGGGCCATAGCTCCCACTCTCTTAACCTCCCCAGTCCACCGTGGCCCTAAAGGTGTAGGGACAAGTTCATTCACTAACAGTTTCTGGGCACTTCCTCTGTAGAAGGACCCCTCCTTAGAGAAAGGGTCCCAGAATCGATCTGGCCCTGGCCCTGGCTCCGAAGAGCTCAGGGTCCATTGGGAAGGATGGGCTTGAACACCTACAAGTCTGAGAGAGAGCAATAGGGATCAAAGGGCCCAGAAAAGAATCCTGGAGGAACTGTCAACAGCCCCCCCTCCCCCCCGGCCCCGGAGCGTTCAGTCACTCAGCAGATCAGGCCCACGAACTGCCCTAAAGAAAGCTTGCCTGCCGCTACCCGGAGGGCCAAGCATTGGATCTCAAGGTGACGGCACAGTCTGCGGTGTCTTTTACTGCCGAGAGCCATTCATTGTCCCGTGTGGATTATCTGTGCCCTGCATGCTTCCAAGAGGGTCTGACTCAGGCTCTGAGCGAGAGCTAGAGGCTCAGGGCTGCTGCACCACCTGTTTCAGGCTGGGAAGGAGCCTCGAGACACTTCTTTCTTGTGCCCACCAGGCCTCAGAAGAGGGACTAGGGCACTGCCACTCTGTGAGAGGGTGTGGCGATTCCTCGTGAGGAAACCCTGTCTCGTAGGTATGGGTGGTGGCCAGTAATAGTGGGCTGGCTCCAGCATGGGTCATCCCTGGGCCATCGATCACTTCACCTCTGAGGGCTCAGTCACCCTGGCAAGACCAGCTCAGAGTGCATAGCAATGTCCTGCCTCCTGTTCCACAAGTGTTTGGGGATGCACTGGCCTCACTGGGTCCAGGAGGTGGGGGACAAGCATTTGCTGGCCTGGGCAGCAATGTTTCCAGGTACAGTCCTGGGAGCAGGACCCGTGCCTTCCTGTTCAAGGTCAGCCAATGCTGTGGGTGATCTCTAGCTGCAGGCCTGGGGAGCTCAGGATTGCCCTCATCCCCATTCTCCTGAGCTGACCCCCTCTTGTCCTAGGGCTACCCCTTGTCTGCCTCGCCCCCTTGTCTGAGCCCTAAATGTGTCACCTCCCAATCAGGACCCAGGGACAGGAGTGATAGGTACGGTCTTAAGATGGTACCTTCCCCCTTTTAGGCCTCTGTTTTCCCACATGAACAATGAAAATACTGAATAAGGTCTGTGGTTTTAACCCTTTCTCTAGGACCCCTCGTCAAGTGAAACCTTATGTAAAGTCTAGATAGTGTGTAGTGTAGAGTATGTAGCGTAAATGAAAATGAAGCTGCTGTGCATCAGGTGGAGGGTGGGGACCACTTGGCCTTCCTTTACCCATAGCCCACCAGGTGGCCACTGAGTTTTCAGGACACTCCCAGGGCTCTGATGTAGTGTGAGGCCCGAGGCTACAACGTAACTACAGGTCCTCCTGCTCTGATATCCTGGGGTTTTGCAACTTGCTAAAGCCATCGGAGCCTAGCGCTCTCAGACACAAACCTTCTCCTGTGTGATGAAGGGAAGGCCATATGGGATGGGCACAGACCTGGCTGGATAGCTGAGGCCACTGCTACTGAGTCTCCTGGAAAAAGCTGCTTTCTGAAACCCTCTGGCCAAAGGTCTGCTGCCAGTCACAGGAGAAAGGAACTATGTCCCCCAGGGCCATGGCTGCCACCAGGAAGCCGGGGCCTGGGGTCTAGCCTGGTCCCCATTTCACTTGAGGGCCCTCTTCCTGCAGATGCTAGGGCCTGGGGGCGGATGTGAGGGACTAGGGTCTTGATGTTGCTGTCCCTGCAGACCCCCTTCCCATGCTGTGGCCTGTCCCTCACCTGAAACTACACAGCTTGGCAATTACAGTCACACAGACTAGCTCCAGAGTCCTGCCTGGCTCAGATGAAGACATCAATCTTCTGAGAGCTTCAGAATGGTGAGTTCTGGATTACAGATTCCTCTGTCTGTCCCAGGGGTCTCCTCTCCAGGCCTTGTCTCTTCCTTCACTTACTCATCTCCACTTCCTTCCACCCCCACTCCAGAGCCTTCCTCCCCTGGTCTTAGTCACCAAGACAAGAACTCCTTCCTGTCCAGGTATCCAGCCACCTGATCAGGGTGCTTTGATATCTTTGAACCAAAAAGCTACATGCTCTGAGCCCTGAGAATGAAACCCAGGAGAGGCACATGGCTGCTCTGAGCATGACCTAGGAACTCTCAGTCTTACTGAATTGAAGGCTGCTGGACCAGAACGACCACTGGGGATAGGGCTGGGTTTCTGTCCCCACCAGGGAGGGAGAGCCTGGAGCTTTCCTGCACTGCCCATGTCCTTTGGCAAGGACCTAACCCTCATTCTCATCTGCTGGGGGGAAAAGATGTCTCCCTGAGCCCCAGACACCGGGCAGGCAGCCTCCCATCGTTCCAGCCAGTAGTCAGCTCAACCACAGTGCCTCTAAAGCCCTTCCTGGCCAACCCCACAACCTGACACAGCCATTCTCCAGGAGGTTTTGTGTGGGGAGAGCCACTTTATTAAAGGGTCTCTGTCATAAGCCCCCCACTTCTGCACCTGTCAGGTTGGCTTTGGGTAGATGGTCCTGGTTGTGTTTCCTTCCAGTTTCCCTCTTGGTCTATGGCTTCCTGAGACTTGGCATCCTCGCTGGCATCTGGGGAAGGGAGGGCTGGCAGCTGGCAGAGGGCCAGGGAGTGGCCAGCCCCACAGCCCACAAGGAGTCCTGACGACGACCGCAGAGCCTGCACAGGCTTCGGGGCCCAGACGTCGGCTTCGCTGTTGTCCCCACACATGCCGTGCTCGTTCCAGCCCCAAGAGTAGCACACCCCACCTGTGAAGGAGAGAAAAGACTGCTGGAGAAGCCGTTTGGGTTTTGGATAGGTGGCTGACACACTCACCCTGGGGGCACAGGGGACATCATAACCCCAATTTACACATGAAGAAACCAAAGCTCAGGGACACCTGGTGGCATGCTCACTATCCCTGCTTCCACTCCCATCAACCCACACTTGCTCTGCCCCAAACCTGGCTTTCCCCCCTTGGCCCTTCCCTTATTGTCACCTCCCAATATGTGATCTAAGACCTAAAAATGCTGTCTCCAAAAATATCTCAAATCCTTCCACGTCCCTCCCTCTCCACTGCCACCACCCCCTCCATCCCAACACCGTCCTCTCCAACGGAGCTGCTCAGCATCCACTCGGATCTTCAAAGAGCATCCAGCAGACACCTCTGCGCCTGCAAATCTACTCAAGTCACTACCCTGCTTAAACCCTCCAGTCACTTCCCACCACCCTTAAGACCTTTCCTTGGCCTGTGACTATCTTCCTGGCCTCCCCTGGCACAACTCTACCCCCACCCTCGGCACTCCAGACGCCGCCTTCTTCCAGCTCCTCTACCGTGTCCCGTGGGACCTTCCTTTCTCTTGAAGTCCTTGCTTTACTGGTCTCCAGGTTTCCTCCTCACCCTTTGGATTGCAGCTGAAATGTCTGCTCAGCCGCCAGATTCCCTAGCTGCCCAGTCCAACTGTGATTCCTGTCACTGCCCTGTCCTTTGGTCCTTTGCCAGGGTAGGCCGCGCAGAGACGACCTGCGCGGTGGTGTTTACTATCCCTTCTCAGACCGTTCTCTCCACAGCGAGGCAAAGAGCTCGTTATGTTCTGTTCACTGTTCTACCCACAGTTGGTACCACTGTTCTGTTCACAGTTGGTACCCAATAAGGGTTTATTAATGATAAGAGACTGAATGAATTCAGAGCCACACAGCGAGAAAGTATCAAAGCCAGCATTCAAGCACAGGTCTCTCCGCCAGGCCGCCAGCTCCCACCCGACCATGGCACCTCTTCCTAGGGTTTGGACCCTTTCCTAGGGTCGAAACTCACAGTTTTCTGTAATTGTTTAAAATTTTTTCTGGATATAAAAGTAATGCATCTTCATGGAAAAATGGAAAATATGGATGAGCGTAAAGAAAATTAGACTTCCAGAATTTTGTCCACTACTACAAATATTTTAGATATCTCTTTCAAACTTTAATTTGTGAAATTTGTAAATATTTGTATATATTTTGTCCTGTTTTTACCCCTTAATATTTCTCCATGGAACTGCAAATTATTCAAAAAGTAAATTAAAAATAATTTGTTTGAAATTTTCAAATAGCTTAATATGCAGAAAGGTACAAAAAATAATTCAACAAAAAGACACATAACATCCCTACCCAGATTTAGAACATTCGTTAACATTTTGCCATATTGTTTCAACCCTTCTTTTAAAAAAGTCAAATCAATCAAGCTGGCATACAATATTTGAATGCTTGTTTAATATTTTCTACATATACATCCTTAAAGACTATGCAATATTTTTAGTTTGTTTATAGTATCATTCAAATATGTATTGATACTATTATCAAATATGTATTTTTATGACTTGCTCTTTACATAGCATTGTTTTTGAAATTTATCTGAGCTGCTTGTTATGGATCTGGTTTATTTATTTTAATTGTGTAGAGTATCCAAGTATGTATAAATCACATTTTGCATATCCATTTCCCTTATCCATTTTCAATTCTTTAATGAAAAATTGTTGCTATTATAAACAGCACTGCAATGAACATCCTTGAACATGTCTCCTTGTACAAATTGGTGTTTGTGCAGGGTTGATCCCTAGAAGTGAGTGTGGTGGATCACATTTAATTGTACTAGGTATGAACAAATAGCTCTCCACAGAGGCTGCAGTCATGTATAGTCCCATCAGCAATGGATATGAAATGGTTTCCCTCTATATTTGCCTTTAGATTCTTGCAGTTCTGGTAAGTACATTTAATTCAAAAGTGCACCTCCTGACTACTAGTGAGATGCGCATCACTTTATGTCCATTGGCCCTAAGTTGCCTCTTCTATGAATTGCCTATATCCATTCTTTGCCTGTTTTGCTCTTTGGTTGTTTGCCTTTTTCTTATTGATTTGTAAGTTTTCTTTGTGTATCTTTTGTTTGTATGATTCTTTGTGGTTAAATGTACTGCAAGTGTCTTCTCCCAGGAGTCTGTGGTGTGTCCCTTCGCTTTGTTTATGGTGTCATTTGTTGTACAGATTTATTTAAAATGACTGCCTAATTGTTCATTATGGAGGTTAAACAATTTTCTTAACCTATATCCTATTGTCAGATAAGTAGGTTATTCCTAATTTTTCATTATTTTGTATAACATTCTATAGACATCTTTATGCACAAACCTTTGTCTATCTAATTATTTTCTCAAATGAGGCTCTTAGAATGGGAATTCCTAGTCAAAGGGCATGGACCTTTTCAGGGTTCCTGAGTGCTGTTTTGAGTGCTGCCAGGATACTTTCAGAAAGGTCATCGGGTATACCTATGGCAATCTGGGGGAGTCTGTTTCACTCCAGCATTGCCAGTATTTATTAGTTACTACAGTGTTTAAGAATCTTTCATAATTTGAAAACAAAAATTATATCTCACTGTTTTGACTTTTATTTTTTTACTACCATTGAAATTGAAAATTAAGTCTTACGTTTCTCAGGAATTTGGATCTCCTCTTTTGTGTATTATCTGTCCCATTATCTTTTTCCTACTTAGCATAGAAAAGTGTAAGTGCTCAGACCTCAGAGTTAGATGGCCTGGGTTCAAATCCCAGCTCCTCCATTTATTAACTGAGTATCCCCGGGTAAGTTACTTAGCCTCTCTGTGCCTCAGTTCCCTAATTTGTTAAATGGGAATGAATGGAAGTACTTTTATCATGAAGTTATTCACAAGGATTAAATGAGTAAGAATGCATAAAACACTTCGAATGGTGCCTGGCACGTGGTACTACATAAATACTTGCTATTGTAGTTGTCATTGACTAACAGCCTTGTTGTTTTAAATATTTTTAAGAATAGTAATTCTTCTTCTGTCATATCTGGCATAAATATTTTTTCTCAGTTTGACTTAAAATTTTGTTTTGGGTCTTTGATATAAAACATAAGTTTTATGGTTCTAAGTATTAAAATTGATTGATCTTTAATAATTTCTTCCATTGTTTGTAAGAACTGAAAGCCTATGCCTATCTAGATCAGAAAATATCCTTTTTGATTTTTCAATGATTTCAATTCTGTATTCTTTACATCTCACTCACTATCCACCGAAACTCTGTTTTAACAGAGGGAGGTGGGCTGCCCAAGATTCCCCTTCCCCTACCTTTTCCCTAATGGGAAGGCGATACTTGGTCTACAGCTTGGGTGTGGGGGACACGGATGCCTGCCTGTGGGCCCTGGGTGAGGAAATGCACGCAGAGAGGATGCCCCCCAGGAGGCGGCGAAGCAGAGTGTCCGCCAGGCGGGAGAGCGCGGGAGGCTTAGGACCTTCAGGCCCAGCGCAGCACCTGGTGTGGGCCCCGTGCCCAGCCCTGGGGAGTGGCACCAGCTGACGGTCAGCAGGGATGGGGGCGGGAGGAAGGCAGGGCTGACCTACCAGCAGGACTCGGCACAGCGGGCAGCTGGCAGGTCCCCCTCCTCCTGCCAAAGGAAACGCGCTCGGAGGAAGCCGCGCTCCGGGCCGGGGTAGCCGAGGCCTTGAGCCAGGGCTTTCATGCCCACTGGGTCGAGAGGCCTGGCAGAGCCCCAGAAATGCCTGCCCCCAATACTCCCAAAGAAACTCACTTGAGGTTAGGTACTTTGTAGTCTTTATCTCCTTTAATTCTAACCACCTCTGAGGCAGCCATGTTTTATAGATTTTTCTCGTTTTATAGATGACACTGAGGCCTGGAACTGAGGCAGTGTCGCTACAGAATCTGTACTGAACTTCATATGTTATATATCAGGGTTTGCAAAATTAGTCTATAAAGGCAGATAGTAAATATTTTAGGTCTGAGGGCCTCATTTGGTTTCTCTCGCAATTGGCCATACAAAACAGGCCGTGGGTCAGATCTACCCAGTGGGTTCTACTCTGCTGGCCTCTGGTACATCTATAATACTATTTTCTATGGGTTGTGCTTGCTGTCCTGGGTCCCACACCAACACACAGCTGTGTTATAATTGTACTGAGGTCCCCAATGACCTGACAGGGTTGCCAGGAGGACTGCATGAGCGGAGATATATACATATATAATACCCCAGCATAGCGCCCGACACACAGTGACAGCTCATGCCCACATATGAGGCAGACACTGGGGAGGGGCAAGTGGCAGAGAGGAGAGGGAGGGGCATCACCCGATGGGAAGGCCTCAGGTGGAATGAGGAGTCTGAAGGCTCTGAACAGTTTAAAACAACCTCAGAAAGTGAGAGACTGGCTACCCACCCACCCCACTAGGACCCACAGCAGGACATCTTTAAATACTGAGCTCCTCTAGCATTTTAGCATAGCCCCTGCCCGCCCCCCACCACTTAGGGCCAACCTTTTGGGGACAGGAAGGGCCTCTGGACTCGCACGATGCCACCATGTGGGCTGTTCTCGTGTATAAAGGGGAGGAAGGAGAACGTCTCACGGTAAACTTTCATGAAGCTAACTAGAATACAGAGCACCCTGTTTTCAAAACAGCTGAGTTACAGGCGGGCTTCCAGCTTTACTGAGGGCCTTCTGCACTGTGCCCAGCATGTGCCAGGTCCTTGAGGACACTGACACCCACCTGATTCACCCAGACTGCTTTGCTGGCCCTGGAGCACACAGCTGAGCCTCGAGTGGAGAGGGATTTCCTAGCCTCGTAGAGTTCAGGCCCCCTGCTTATAGGGCTCAACAGATTTGGCCTGACCAGGATGTGACAAGTGACAGAGCTCATGGCCCACCACACTTGCGTCAGCCTAAGAGCCCTGCAGGCAGCGGAACCTTGGGACTGGCAGGGTCCCTGGCACA